GTTAATTACTCTTTCCTCATATTATAATTTGAAAAGTTCTTACTTGGTATTAATTGATAAAGCTTATGACTTTCGTCATTTGCAATGTCATCATAAATAGTTTAGTAGTTAAAATTTGTATTAAATAATGATAAAACTTCTATTAAATAATGAGTTAACTCCAGTCTACCAAAGCTTCTGCATATAAGGTAATAACGTTGGGAAAATGATATGAAGGGCTCGCTTCTGTAACTTCTCCAGATCTTCGCATAGGTAATTGGGTAATGAGTCGTGGAAAACAAGACAAGCATATTCCATCACAGGACGCACATAGGTCAGGTAAAATGTTAGTAAATCCTAATTTGTACAGATTTTTGTTCTTTTTAGTTGACAAAGAAAGAAGAGTCTTGTTGAAACTTTCTCCACAATCTCTGAAATATGGATATTCCCATATAAGATCGTTCGCAATTCGCATGCCCAATATTTTTGCAGAAGGGACAACTTCAATCGGCCTATTATTAACATACACGGGTGTAAACGTTCGCACAGGTCTTGTATGAGTAAATTGTTAAACACGTCTGAAATTATCAATACAGTAAATTCGCGACACATCAACCCTAATTACACTAACATAATCTTAATCTAACCCTAATCGATCTAATCTTTATCTGACAGTAATCTAAACTTGATGAGTACCTTTTTCGTTTTAATAATATCCAGTCCAAAGTCCAGTCCAAAAATAGTGGACTCGACTAGGTTTGGACTGGTCTTTGGACTGGACTTTGGACTGGACTCTGGACTTAAAATTTTCTTTTCACAGTAAGATTTGCGCATAAATCTCCATAATTATCGTTAGAAACAACAAAAAGGATCTCGATAGATCCAATAGAACAACTTACGTCGCGTTTGCAAGATAATGCATGCCAATCTCGTCAGTTCCCAGAGACTAATACCCGTTCGCAGATTAGGGTTGGGCATAGCTCTTGAGAAATCGAATTGATTCTAGTATCCATTCCCACTCGTCATCTTTTTTGAACGTGTTCCACGTTGCCCTGGCAACATATTCTAGTAACTGGACAGCTACGACTTTTTCTTTAACGACATGCGCAAAATCTGCCTGATAGATTGTGTATGGATTGTACATAGGTCTGGACTCCAAAGGTTTATAAGAAGGATGGCCCAGAATCGTGAGCGTGATTTTTGTTGGCCTGTGCTCAGCATGGAGCAAAGTAAAATATTTAAAAAAACTTGTGTCTTACAGTTACATACCTTCACCGCTCATTATCAATGTCTTGATTTCATTGGTGAGAATTCCAGTTGTTTTGTATCTCCAGTAACTTTCTTGCATCGAGACATCCATTACATGTCGCGGTAAGGCATCTTGGATAGCAAGAAACTATTAAGACTAATCATGAATAACCATTGCATTTTGGCTTCAGTAGTTGATGAACACTGCTCCAAAGGAGTTCAGCTGAGAAGAATTTTTATGCTCGTTTCAAAATTGCTGTCTATATGCCGGTAATTGTTAGACATCTCGAGAACATCGAGCTGAAACGGATGTTGGACAAACAATAGAGAGTTTGAGCAAGAGAACGAAGTCGGATGGCGACGACGTGGTGGACAATTTTTGCCTGTCTTGGACATTATCTTGCGCATTCTGAGTTTAGGGTCAGGAGTGAAGACAGGTTAGAGATTCATGTCTGGCTGTTTGTGAATGCCGACTCAAATCCTTACCCTGATCAGGATAAACAGCGAGACATGAATCCATATCCCGTCTCACATCGTTCTTCTGCCTCGTTCACAACGAATATTTTGGCCGCTAAATTCGTTGTGAACTTCGTTCTGCACGAAGGCAGAAGGACAAAGACGGGATATAGTTTCATGTCTCGCTGTTTTTTTCTGGATCAGGGCAAGAATTACGGTCAGTATTCATAAAAAGCAACACATGGGAAGACACGTTGAGCAACCACCAGTGACGTCCAACTCAGTATGCGCAAGGTAATGTGCAGACGGCAAAAATTGTCAGGTATGCATGCCTTCGTCTTCGTACTTCGTTGTCTTGCTCAAACTCTCTAATGGGGGGTTGTCTCTTCCGAGTTTCTCTCGTTCCGCTTCATTTCGATTTAGCTTCCCATGGCGCTTTTCCGAAAATCAGACAAAAAAGTGAAAAAGGCATCAAACTTCTATTCTGACTTAATTCAACCACTTTTCGACCACTGAGGTCGTATATTCTCCCTGAGTCAGTTGATTATACGTAGCAAAAACTTGTTTAAATTAACAAACACGAATTTGTCTACGTACGGCAACTACAGTAAATTCGCTATAAGTCAAGTTGGCTTTCAGGCTGCCAAATAAATAATACAACAATATATCGCTGTCCAACTGCACTCAAGTGCTGACCAAGTGTTGACCCGTCCGTACTTTGCCAGTTTTTTCTACAACAAGTGCACTTGTTCAAAAGTTAATGCTAGCTTTTGCAATTTAATTTGAGCAAGTGTTGGGCAAGTGTTGTGCAAGTGTTTACTTGTCAAAGAAAAACCTGGCAAAGTTGCATGTGCAACCGAGCGAACAAAACTTGTCGTATAAAAACCTGTCACCATAGAAACCTGCTCGTCTGTAAATTTATGTATGCCATACCTGTGAATAGGAAGCTTGTTAGAAGAATCATGCAGGAGCATCTATATATTCGCTCCGTTCTCCAGTAAGATTTTACACGTGCTCAGATGACCTTTGTCATATGCTATGTGTATAGTGGTGTATCACCAATTCCCTATAGAGACAACATGAGATGGAACACTGGTTATTTTAAGACAATACTGATTGCAATAAAGCCTGCAGTACTGGCGACCTTTGCCTTTGGGCACAGGAAAGAAGACACAGAAAAGTGTGTTAAAAAACATGTTGCCAACGCTCAGATCTCGATATGATTACCAAAGTTTCTTCGAGATTTTCGAGGGTTTTTTTAAAAACAGTCACAGGCACAGCAATATAATTTACTTTGAGTGTACGATAGCTTCTCAAACAAATCAGTATTTAATGAGATATTTAAGCTGATATAATTCACTGATGAATTTGTATTACTGTAGTATGACTAGTAACATAGACTATCAAAACATAATGGCCTGGAAACTAAACAGAAGTCATTAATATTCGTTATGTTTTTGTCAGAGTTTACGTTAATTTGTGCACGGTCATGGTGATTGAGATCATTGTATTTTTGCGTATATGAAGTAATCGTCCAATAGGGATAGCTGAGGTGAAATGTGCAACAACGATCATAATATTTAATGAAGTTGAGACAAAGGATTTGTGCACGGTGAGGAACAGTTTGTCAAGTATTTTATAATTAATTCTAGTAAAACATAAATGATTATTGCAAGGCGGCAACTTCCGGACGACGCCAATATAACTGGACGGTAATAATATAGTTGATCGACAAATGTTTGTAGTTCGATTGGAAAGGATTGTTGTATTGAATGTGATATAATAAATACTATAAATGAAAGATACAGTCCCCAGGTTGTGATACAGTGCCTATTCCGTGTGTGAGTGCGCGGAGGAGAAAGTTGCGAAACAGTTCAACAAAACAAAGGCCTTCTTTTTGGGGGCTTTGATGTTTGGCGGGCTTCCAGGCCATCATATCTTGACAGATTATGATACATTATCAAGATAATAAAGGTGATGATTACCTTTGCATGAATTTTGCTGTGAATTATGAATGAAAGTGGTTTCAGTAAAACTATGAAACCCACCGATTTTTTATTTACATTAGCTTTTCGATTTACAGTAACTATCCAAGTTGAAGACATTCAACGGCATAACTATCCAAGTTGAATGGTTATGCCGAAGACATTCAACGGCATAACTATCCAAGTTGAAGACATTCAACGGCATAACCACCCAAGTTAAATGTTTATGCCGAAGACATGCAGTCAAATGTTTATGCCCAAGACATTGAACGGTATAAACATCCAAGTTGAATGGTTATGCCGAAGACATTCAACGGCATAACCATCCATCGTTGAAGACATTCAATGGCATAACCATCGAAGTTGAGGACATATTCAACGGAATAACCATCCAAGTTGAATGTTTATGCCGAAGACATTCAACGGCATAACCATCCAAGTTGAAGACATTCAACGGCATATAACCATCCAAGTTGAAGACATTCAACGGCATCCAAGTTGAATGTTTATGCCGAAGACAGTCAAATGTTTATGCCGAAGACATTCAACGGCATAAACATCCAAGTTGAATGGTTATGCCGAAGACATTCAACGGCATGATCATCCAAGTTGAGTGTTCAGTATGTCGAAGACATTCAATGGCATAAACATCCAAGTTGAATGGTTATGTCGAAGACATTCAACGGCATTGATCTATCCAAGCTATAATTTAGTTGAATGGTTATGCCGAAGACATTCAACGGCATAACTATCCAAGTTGAAGACATTCAACGGCATAACCATCCAAGTTGAATGTTTATGCCGAAGACGGTCAAATGTTTATGCCGAAGACATTCAACGGCATAAACATCCAAGTTGAATGGTTATGCCGATAACATTCAACGGCATAACTATCGGAGTTGAAGACATTCAATAGCATAACTATCCAAGTTGAATGTTTATGCCGAAGACAGTCAAATGTTTATGCCGAAGACATTCAACGGCATAAAGGATGTTCTGAAAGAAAAGATTAAAGAACGCAGACAAGCAAAATGTGAGTTGCACCACATTAGCAATGCTTGACCCATTGACATCGACATACCTAAACCTAACAAAAACATACTGTACAATGATAAAATAACATGCAAGACACAAAGCAGTGGAATAATCAAATTGAGTATTCCATAACAATGCTGCAAATATGTAATTATTCGGGCAATCGGAAAACAACAAAGAAGCCGTGCTCCATCACACAATATATGGATTATATGGGCATTCTGATTAACGATAAAACGCTCCATCTCACGTAGACATGCTTTTCCCCCCCAATATTAGCTATGCTTGACCCATTGACATACATGAACCTAGCAAAAACATACTGTACAATAATAAAGTGACATACAAAACACGAGGCAGCGCGGTATAATCACAATGGCATACATCGGAGTTAGCCGCAAATTGAATATTACTGCATACAATGTATATGAATATATAATATTACGCAAATTGAATATTACTGCATACAATGCTGCAAATATATAAATATTCGGGCAATCTGAAAGCAATAAGCCGCACCGTCCAACAATATATTGATTTCAACTGTGGGCATCTGATAACGATAAAACGCTTCTATCCTGTAATATCTAAGTACTAGGTATATATTTGTGCTATAGAATATATTTAGTATATTAGTTAGACGTCATTACTATATATCCCACTTAGACATGCATTTTTCCTAACACAAGAACAAGGGCAGAATATATATATACGCACCACTACACATCTGAACCGTAAATGTTCAAATTTATAAACACAAAACAGTACAAAGTTAAAACAATTGTATACAGTTAATTCAAAAAAGCTTGTCCTTTGCAAACCTTAAACTCTAAACCTTAAACCTTATACTCTAAGCGTGCAAAGCATAATGGGAGCATCATTTAATCAGTTTAGAAATCATATATGGGGCCCATTTCTTAGAGACATGGTAAATATCTCCTTGCGAGTACAATTCATTCACAAATAGCTGCAATATTCAACTATACTAAGCTTGAAACTTGTGTTCCAATTAAGCTTTGCGCGATTAGAGTTTAAGGTTTAAGATTTAAAATTAAAGTTCATGCAAGGTTTGCAAAGGACAACCTTTTTTGAATTGGCTGTATATAAATGCCACAAATTGACGAAAAAGTTCTGTGTAGAAAAAACCCAATGTTGTAATCTCAACGTGGGCATCTGAAAACAGTCAAGTTGCTCTAGCCAATAAAAATGAAATTAGAGAAACATACAAAACACGAAGCAGTGGGGAATAATTACAATGACATACATCGGAGGCAGCCGCAAACTGAATATTCCATGTATACAATGCTGCAAATATATAAATATTCGGGCAATCTGAAAACAACCAGCCGCACCGTCCCACAATATATGGATTTCAACGGTGGGCATCATTTCATCGGACAGTTGCTCTAGCCCATAAAGCCCGGCGCACACTAGAGCTATGTGCTTAGCAAAATGTCATTCGTGACTGTTGGCGTAAGGAGAAAGCTCTCGTGTGCGGTGCACTTTTGTCCGTTTTTCGTCACTCGTGACGTGTAAGACAAATATCCAACGTGTTGAATATTTTTTGTCACGAATTAACATTTCCTCCACGTGTGCGCGCTCGAAAAGCTATCACTTTTCATTGTAGATCGAACAGGCATGCGTAATAAAATATAAGACAGAAGGAAATAATTATGAGGAATATTCATATGTCGCTACTCATGTATCACATTCCTCATTAATTATTTTCCTTTTGTCTTATGTTTTATTACGCATGCCTATTCGATCTACATTTTACAATGAAAGGTTGCTTTTCGAGCGCGCACGCGGAGGAAATGTTCATTCGTGACAAAAAATATTCAACACGTTGGATATTTGTCCCACGCGTCACGAGTGACGAAAAACTTACAAAAGTGCACCGCACACGAGAGCTTTCTCCTGGCCGGCGCACACTGCAGCTATGTGCTGAGCCAAATGTCATACTGTTGGCGTAAGGAGATAGCTCTCGTGTGCGGGCGATTTACGAACGACTTTTGTCATTCGTGCCACTTACGGCAAATATCTAACATGTTTGATAATTTCTGCCTCGCGTGCCAAAATCTTTCCATGTGCGGCGATCGAAAGCTATCTGCTTATGGATTGTCGTAACAGAGCATGGGTAGTGTACGAAAGTAAACATCCAAGATGGCGGCGCACAATGAATTGCTGGCTGAGGCAATTTTAGAAGACAAACTTGTCGTGATAATGCTGTTCCAACAACTTGTCAACAAGATATGTTCTCAACGGCCTTGTAGCAAACTTGTTAACAAGTTGTGACAATGCTGTTCCAGCAACTGGTCTACAAGATATGTTCTCAACAGGCTTGTAGCAAGCTTGTAGACAAGTTGTTGGAACAGCATTATCACGACAAGTTTGTCTTCTAAAATTGCCTCAGCCAGCAATTCATTTTGCGCCGCCATCTTGGATGTTTACTTTCGTATACTACGCATGCGCTGTTACGACAATCCGTAAGCAGATGGCTTTCGTTCGACGCACTTTTAAATATTTTGGCAAGCGAGGCAGAAATTATCAAACATGTTAGATATTTGCCGTAAGTGGCACGAATGACAAAAATCGTTCGTAAATCGCCCACAGTAACACGAGATCTCCTTATGTCAACAGTCACGAATGACATTTAATTTGCTAAGCACATAGCTCTAGTGTGCGCCGGCCTTTACGTGTTTGTTAACACTTGCAAATATGCTCGTCCATTTTTTGTAAAACATTTTTACGACTTTTCCATTCTGGCTTCTTTCGAGACTTTGTAATCTTTTCCACATATTTGCTGATGACGAGATCTTGCTCCTTAAAGCGCTCCGAGTCGTTAGTTCGAGGGTAGTTTCTGTGTCCACCGTTCATAATGTTCACATTGCCATAAATGAGGACAGAGCCCGAGAAATAATGTTTGGCTAGCGTTGCGACATAATGCTGACTATAACACCAACTTGCGTTTTCATGCTTAAGATTATACGGCAGCAGATACGGCAGGGCGTCGTGATGAAATGCATTGAAACATGCATCAAAAAGCCATCCTGAGAGAACATAGACACCGTTCCCGCCAGGTTTATTTCTTTGCTTAAAGCATGGATGCCTTTTACTATGGCAATACGTTGTAATTCCTACTGCGGGTTCGTATTCCACTAGAAAATTCTCAAAAGATCGCCATAAGCCAAGAGAGGTTACATTGACGTTGGTATCGGCATTGGGCCGCAGAGATGCGTCCCCGTCCACAAATATATAGTAGAGGTACACGGTTTTTCTCTTCATGGCGTGCTCGTAAAGGTAGTTCCTGCCTGTGTTCCAAGTTGTGCCATCTCGGTGGATGTACTCTACATGTTCCAAATTCCCATTCTTCGCTTCGCGACATTTCTCTTTGTAACCGAACATAATAATATCACAGTTGCATGTATGCCCGTTGCCAATATTGCTTGCCCCTCTCATATGTACAGGAAGGCAATTGTTCCCCATAACTAAGTACAGGAACTTTTTTGTCGTTGTCGAAGTACTGATCAGAGTCATCAGACGGCTTCCGGACGCTAACCGTTCCACGATATTTTCAGCAGTAAAGAGAACCCTGTATATTGCCGTGAAAATCATTAAACTAAAAATCAAAATACCGATTTTTTTTGTGCCATAAGTGCTGTTCGGCTTCATCATAGCTTCGCCTATATAGCGTGTATGGCCGGCTCTCTGTGGGTATTTATAAGCGAGCGAGAGCTTCGGAACAAAGATCCAATAATCGAAGTCTATTTTGGCAACTATAGCTTTAATTCAAATGTAAAGTACTAGAGTTTTAATATTGTTCTCAATAAAGTCGACAAATTTACATGGCAAATAAGTTCATGCGCATGAGGTGGCCTGACAGCGTGACCTGCTGTAGTTCACCTGCATTGCCTGGAATTCCTTAAATTCTCGGTAAAAAATCCCTCAGATTTAGTAAAATTTCCTTAAAACGTGGGTTAGGCATGTTTTTTGGTAATTTATGGCCTGAATGATTGAGAATTACAAAGTTAGGTTCCCAGAATTTTTGTCTCATTTGGGAATTGGGATTTTGTGAGCAGCATCGTCAGAAGGAATTTCACATTGTTGGTCAAGGAATATCTTCCTTCAAAATATTTTTGCAGTCCCGAATGCATTCTTAAGCCTGATTCTCATAAGTCGCCGACGTCGGCGATGCCATTGTTTGAGATCAGTGAAGAAGAACATAGACAAAAGATTTTACTCATCAATGATCAACGACAATGGGCATCGCCGACGTCGGCGACATATGAGAATCAGGCTTTACCAGCTGCGGTACCGCGTCCTACGATTCATCCTCATGACGTTTGTAGTAAGCTCTTAAAACTTCAGACTAATAAGGCTATGGGCCCGGACAGTATTCCACCACGAATTTTAAAAGAGTTCGCCTATGAACTTGCTGAGCCAGTTACATAAATATTTAATACATCTTTGTCCTCTGGACTAGCACCTGTTTTATGGAATGATTCTAGCATCATACCCATTCCTAAAGCGAAACAAACCCAGGTCAAGAGCGATACCCGCCCCATCGCACTTATCCCAGCTGTGTTATCGAAAGTACTCGGTCTCGAAGATTTTGTGGTTAGTTGGATAGTTGAGGACATAGACGGACAAATCGATAATCGTCAGTATGGCAGCCTGAAGGGAACATCTACCACCCTTTGTCTTCTAGATCTTATCCACAACTGGCTTTCTAAAATGAACAACCCAGGTCAGTACCTTAGAGCTTGCTTTCTGGACTTTAGCAAAGCTTTCGATAGAATATGGGATGAATGTTTTGTTTCTGATAACGTCGACGAGTCACTTTCGAAATGGTGTGATTTATTTATGTCAGCTGTCGACAAATACATCCCGAAACATTTTGTAAAGAATACTAATGATCACCCATGGATTGATAAAAACTATCCCTTCAAATTAAGAAGAAAAACATCCAAAGAAAAAAGTTAAAGAAATCACAATCCTCAGACGATCTAGAAAAGTATAGAACGTTACGGCGTGAGACTAAAAAGCTGATCTCAAAGAAAAAGAAGGATTACAATAAAAAACTGTCCGAGTCCCTGTTCGAGAACCCAAAACGTTTCTGGTCGGCGGTAAAATCAAGAACGAAATTGCGTCAATCTGTTAATTTTCTTCGAACTGACGGTGCTTTTACAACAGATAAAATGTGCATGGCTGACATCCTAAACAAATTTTTCCACTCCGTCTTCAACCCTCGGGAAGCAGAATCACCCACTTCGACATCTGAAACACTAACACCCTCAACTCCTCAACTCTGCGATATCGAATTGGGAGATTCTGAAGTTGCTGAAGTACTTCGTCACTTAGACCCTAAAAAGGCTTGCGGACCAGATGGGATTCCAAGTAGATTGTTGTTTGAACTTGCAAATGTTATCACACCTTCATTAACCAGACTGTTCAACATGTCTCTCTCACTTGGCGTAGGACCCATCAATTGGAAACGTGCTAATATCACGGCCGTATTTAAGAAAGACGATCCTTCACTTTCGTGCAATTATCGGCCGATTTCTCTACTCTGTGTGTTGTCTAAAGTTCTAGAACGTTGCGTTCACAGTCACTCCTACTACCACCTAGCACCACTCATCTACAAGATGCAACACGGTTTCATGAGGGGGAAATCAACAACAACCCAACTGTTAGAAGTGTACCATGACATTCTGGAACATGTTGCGAGTGGTAAGGAAGTCGATGCTATTTACCTGGATTTATCGAAAGCCTTTGACAAAGTTCCACACAATCTGTTGTTGAAGAAACTCGAGAATTCCGGAATTGGCGGGCCTCTCCTTGCATGGTTTCGAAGCTACTTGACAGATCGAAAATAACGTGTAGTTCTTCATGGCGTGTGTTCCGATTGGCTCTCGGTTACATCTGGCGTACCACAAGGCTCCATACTTGGCCCACTTTTGTTTCTGATCTACTGCAATGACGTTCAAAATTACATACAAGCAAACTCGACACTCGCACTCTTTGCCGACGATTCTAAACTGTACAGATCTCTTGACCTCCCTAACGCTAGTACATCGCTCCAGCACGACCTTGACAGCCTACAGATATGGAGCGTTGATATGAAAATGGATTTTAACACGACGAAATGCAAAGTTATGCACTTCTCCAGAAAGAAATTGAAAACTGAAACATCCTATATTCTTACTGGACAGCAACTCGAACAAGTTACGCATATCTCGGACCTTGGTATCACAGTCTCTAGCGATTTATCGTGGTTTAAACACATCGAGAACATTGCAGCAAAAGCCAACAAGACACTGGGTCTCATTAAAAGGATAAGCAAGGGCATAACTGATTTCGCTACAAGGAGATTATTGTACTGCACCCTCGTCAGACCCAAGTTAGAGTATGCTAGTAACGTGTGGTCACCCAGAGCCGTTAAACATCGATCATTAATCGAGAACGTTCAGCGGAGAGCAACGAAGTTCATTCTAAATTACCCAAAGGAAATGTCGTACACGGAAAGATTGATCACAACCAACCTCCTTCCGTTAGAATTCCGCACAGAGATCAC